ATATCCCCATTTTGGTGATCTCAATTTTGTTGTCTTCCATGCCTTCAAACTGTATAATGTCTATGTCAGGTTTTTAAACATTTTTCTCATCATCTTCTAAGAATTTATCCATTGAACTCTATATTCTTTCTGAGATTTTAGTTATTAATATCTCAGTCTAGTTATCAAAAAACTTTTTAAGAAAAGGTTATAGCTGGCTTAGCCATTTAAACTCTTTTCTGCCTGGTGCTTTAGTTCCCTCTAGTATCTGTTTGCAACCTTCATCAAGCCTCAGTTCCTAATATGGGTTTAGTTCCATTCCAGTCATTTCCCATGAGTACATTATTTAATTATATACTTGTTTTTTCAAATCTTACAGCAAAAATAACCAATATTCCAAATCTCTCTGGTGTCCCAATCCATTTAAAACTTTCTTAAATCAAAATTCCCCCCCCCCCTTTTTTTGCCAATTGTATATCATTTTAAATTCTTAAGTCTCTGTTTAAAATTTCTTAAATCCAAAGAAGAAAGTAAAACTCACCAAGTGTCAAATGAAGCTTGCCAATTTGAAGGTCTCTAATATCCATAAAGCAGTTAAATTAAACATTTCTGAATGTGATTAGAAAGTGAGTTTGGCTGGCTTAGTGTCCTTATTAAAGGCTCTGCAGCTGCTGAGAGCAAAGATGTCATCTCCCCTGGCTCCTGGCGCTCAAACCTGGGGGAGACCACTGTTTTACAGTCTCCTCGCAAGGAGCTGCCATTCAGAACACTTGTGGGCTATCTCCCATTCTTTCCTTCTCCAGAGAGCTTTGAAGGGCCAGTTTACTTGCCAGTCTTTCGTTCTACACAGCAGTTGTGGAGATGTCTTCAGTCAGCCATGAGTCCAGCGGAAGCCACACATAAACTTACTTCTTATGATTTAAGAATGAAGATATTTCATTGGAAAGTATCATTTCATGTATTTTGGACCCTTCAATGATTGAAATAGGTTGGACATCAGATTCTTTGTGCTGGCATTGTTAAGAAATGTAAGGGCTCATTTGGTTTGGTCTTGTTCAGACATAGCTTTGTTTTGCTTTCAATTCATAGTATATGTACAATTTTGGAAAGAAATATAATAGTTAAACATATAAGCTATGGTAGAGAGTAAAGAGGATGACCGTGAGGGAGAGAGGAAAGATTAATTACCAAGAAGCAAGCAGATAAACACTGCAGAAGCCTAGAGAAGCGGGGAGCAGTACAAAAACATCTTGGCGAGACAACCCCTGAATTCACATGAAGATAAAGGTGTTCATGGATGTTCTATCAAGTGCTACACTGCAGCTTATTTCTTGACTGCTTGTTCCTTTATGTATAGTTTATCTTAATCACTATAATGTTTGTAGGTTCTTTTTTCACCATTTAACCACTACTATATCTTTTTTAGTTGTTGCTGTTGTTTGTATTTCACTATAATAAATAAATACATAAATACATATCCAAAGGTTGCTATTAAAGAGAAGAGAATGAATAAAGCTAAAATGTGCCCAGGCCATGCTTTGGTTGATGGGAAAAAGGCCAACAGGAGACATGAAGGTTCTAC